CCCCAGGACTCGGTCCGTCCCGCAGTCCCAGGCAGCCAACGTTTCATGGGACGCCTCTCTGCGAGAGTTTATCGAAACGTGGCAAAAACCTGGGCCAAAATCAGCCGCTCCTGGAGAAGAAGAAACTTTAAAGCAACACCCCCACTGGGGGGAAAAAAAGCGCATTAAACTCACCGTTTACCGTCTGCGGGACAAGAGCTGTGTGGAAAATGTGCGCAAATGAACACTTTCTGTCCCCCTTTTCTACGCTGCTGCTTTGCGCCCTGCGGACTTGCCAAACTAGTAGGACTGCAGAATCTCTTCCGTGATTTGGATTTTTTTCCCCCCCGTCCTTAAAAAGTTTGCCCCCCCTCCTCTCTAACACAAGTCAAAGGGCGTGTACCTGGGAGAGTGGGAGGAAGAASTGGAAGAGCGCGACCATTCGCGCAAAAAGGAAAGAAAGTTGATGAAATGACTTAAAGTTTTTATTTATTTTTTATTATTATGTTTGGCTGGAGCAGCTGTTTCACCTCAGCTCGGCTGCTTCATCTGCTGGAGCAAAGAGAGGGTGGGTGGGGTGACTTCATCTGTAAGAGTGTTTTATTTCACTTATTAAACGCAGAGATGAAGGAAAATAAAAATGTCAGTTTGAAGATTACAACCAGAGCCTCCCTTTTGACATAATCTGTAACAGATTATAACGCAGACGTAGAGAAAATGAAGGCCTCAAAGAGACAGTGACCTCCACCACCACAGCTGGTGTACTGTTAAAAAACTGACAGACTGACAGTCTGAGTGTTAAAGGGATAGTTCAGATTTAAAAAAAAAAAAAAAAAAAAAAAAGCGAGGTCCAGGGAGTTGGCTAGACTTTCTTTTGCAAGGGGTGGCACGGCGGGATGTTTTTAGGGGGGGGGGGGACATACAAAAAAAAAAAAAAACACTCTGGATTTGAACATTCAAAATGGCTGCCACAACTAATTCCATATGGCTTTAATTCAGATAAAATTTTGCGTGATCATAGCTAAGAATGCTCCAAAGTGTAAAAAATAGTATATTTAAATGAGATATTATAAAAAATTTAGTTTTATGATGTCATTCCTGCAGGCCAGAAAAGCCCCAATTCAACAAATTTGGAATGGTCCACGGGCCACTAGTTGATATACAAAGTTGTACCACCTTTAGCACATTTTATTAGTGACTCTTATGACTGTAAATATTTTAGACCTATGGCTATAGCTATTAGCATATATTTGGACAAAGACTTTTAGTTCATTAAGTCACCAATTCTTTCATGTTTGATATAAAATGTCTCATGGCCAAATCAAATTAGTTGACTGTACTTTTCTACTAAAGTATCGAGTGTAATGATCTTGTTAAGCAGAAAGATATGATTTTAAAGTGAAGGGGGCGGAGCTTATTCAAATTCAGCCCCGCCTCAACTACAGAGCACTTCAAAAGTGAGCAGACTATCCCTTTAATTTCACATTATTCCGGCAACATTGTGATGTTCCCGCTCCTATGCTGCACCTGAAGTGCTACAGCTAGCTG